TCCCATTTTTCAAGCATTTAAATTTTTCTAAATGATAAATACAAGAGCCCTTCATATCGGATTGAAGTAACATCACACACCCTCAGTTGATTTTAATTTTTTTCTCGTTTGAACTTTGACTGCCCTGATTGATTTGAACGAAGACATAAAACGGAGACATTTTATGATCCCAATTTTGACGAAATTAAAGGTATCTGTGCGGCAAAGTTTGCTCTCTCCAGACAAATTGCGGAGATGTAATAATAATTTCGATGAAAAGTATTGAGCTATGTTTAGGGTATCAATGCCCTAATTACAATGAAAAACAGGTGCAACAATTTTTTGTAAGCTTAGGTACTCTTTAATAAGGCTAATTTGTACTAATTGCTGTCCCTAAAACTGTAAGGGGCGTCAAACATATTTACCCAAGGACAGTTATTTCTCAACCAGAAGAAAGATAGGGACAAACATTTCATCTGATTTCTTATTTGTTTTCTAGTGGTTGTAACTTGTTGGAAAAATTGCAAGTAGTCTTCAAGACTCAAGCAGTAAAACCTATACTACTTAAACATGGTTGCAACAAAAATTATCGTCAAAATAAAATTTGATATGCTTTTTTTTTACTTTCCAGGAACCTAGCGTTTAACGCAACTCCGGTGCTTCAAATTTGTGAGAACTCATAAAAAACCGCTCATATTGAGAAAAATCTAGAACCATTAAGAGTGAACCCCCGATAGAATTCTGACAGCCCCGCAAATAAAGTGCTGGGATTTTCAAAATTTGACAAAAAATTTGAAATTTAAGATTTCTGAAAGTTTTTTGAAAAATCACAAAAAACGTCATATCTCGAAAACTGCGAGCATTTGAGCAGTCGCATTTAGGCGCTAGATTTGCAACTCCTCCGGTGCTTCGAAATTTTGAGAACTCATAAAAAGACCGCATATGTTGGAAAAAAAATCTAGAACCTTTTAGTGTACTCAGACACTAAACAGAAACAGGGTTCAAAAATTCAAATGTTTTTTCTATGAGTTTTTTTATTCAAGTTTTGAAAAAACTATTTTGAAAAATTTGCAATTACTTAAAAACGGCACATCTTGAAAACTAAAAGCATTTGAGCAGTCGCATTTAGACTCCAAATTTTTAACTCTTCAAAATGATCTACAGGATTGAGAATTTCGAAATTTGAGAAAATTTTTAAATTTAAGTTTCGAAAAAAGTCACATCTGGAAATTTAAAAAGTCCTGAGTAACCATATAGGGCGGCTCGATTCGCAATCTCCTCGAGTTCTCTGGCAGCCCCCAACTTAAGAAACTGAAGAACAAAATTTGAAGAAAACAACTAAATTTAAGTTTTCTGAAAATTTTTTGAAAAAATCACAAAAAATGTATCTGAAAAACTGCAAAGAATTAAGCAGTAATATTAAGAGACAAGGTTAGCAGCCACTGAAAATACTCTGTCAGTCACCTTCATTACAAGGAAGAGGTTTTCAAATTTCAATAAAATGAGAAACCCATAAAAACGTCACATCAGGAAATATAAAAAGTCCTGAGTAACCACATAAAGCAGCCCCCAACTAAAGCGTTGGGAATTTCAATACTTGAAGAAAAACCAAATTTACGTTTACCAAAAACTTTTTTTTGAAAAACCCGCATAAATTGTCAGGTCTCGAAAACTACAAAGAATAGAGCAGTCATATTTGAAGGCAAAATTAGCAATCTGTGAAAATACTCTGACAGTCCTCTCCCCCATTACATAGAAAAGGTCTTCAAAATTCAGTTGGAATTTTATAAAAATGAATTAAATTTAAGTTTGCTGAAAAAATCTGAGCAGTCATATTTGAAGGCAAAATTAGCAATCTGTGAAAATACTCTGACAGTCCTCTCCCCCATTACATAGAAAAGGTCTTCAAAATTCAGTTGGAATTTTATAAAAATGAATTAAAATTCCAACTGAATAAAATGAGAAACCCATAAAAACGTCACATCAGGAAATATAAAAAGTCCTGAGTAACCACATAAGGCAGCCCCCAACTAAAGCGTTGGGAATTTCAATACTTGAAGAAGAAAAACCAAATTTACGTTTTCCAGAAAACTTTTTTTTGAAAAACCCGCATAAATTGTCAGGTCTCGAAAACTACAAAGAATAGAGCAGTCATATTTGAAGGCAAAATTAGCAATCTGTGAAAATACTCTGACAGTCCTCTCCCCCATTACATAGAAAAGGTCTTCAAAATTCAGTTGGAATTTTATAAAAATGAATTAAATTTAAGTTTGCTGAAAAAACTAAATCTCGATTAATCATATTTGAAGGCAAAATGTGCAATTCCCGATAGTTCTCTGACAGCTTCCAACTGAATGCTCGGGAGTTTCGAATTTGAAAAGAACAATGAACTTAAGTTTTTTGAAAACTTTAAAAAAATCACCACACACGTCAGATCTCGTTAACTACAAAAATTTGAACGTTCATAATTAGAAATGAGATTTGCAACCCCCGATAATATTCTGACAGCCACACAAATAAAGAGTTGAGAATTTCATCGTTTGACAAAAATTTTGAAATTTAAGACTTCTGAAAATTTTTTGAAAAGTCAGAAAAATTGTCATATTTCGAAAACTGAGAGCATTTGAGCAGTCGCATTTGGGCGAAAAATTTATATCTTTAACTTCCCGAGAGTACCATGACAGTACTTAACTAAAAGATTAGGAATTTGAAATCTACTGAGTTTTTAAAATCTAAGTTTTCGAAAAAAAAAAAGGAAATCATGAAACACGTCGTATCTCAAAAACTACAAGGATTTCAGCAGTCATATCTGGAGGCAAGATTCGCAATCCTTGATAGTACTCTGACAGCACCCAACTACAGGGTTGGGAATTTCAAGATTTTGTAAACTATTTTATAAGTTGAGTTTTCTGAAAAGCTTTGAAAATTTTTTAGAAATCGACTTATCTTGTACACTAACAGGATTTGGGCATTCTCAATTGGACATCATATTCGCAACCGCTGTGGAAACTCTGTCGGCATCTCAATTTTGTGTTGCTAACATTAATTTCGGCAGAAAAAACACTAGATTCGAATTGGAAAATCGAAAAAAATCTCACGCATTGCAATATACGATATCGCTTAACCACGCATAGATACGTTATGCCTTTAACTGTTGCAAAAAAAAACTTTAAACATGGTAATATACGTGTCGCACGCATTTAAATAGAGTAGAGATAGATATAGATGAATTTTCAGGAGGTGGACAGTCCCTGAGAATTTTGATGTTGGAAATGAAAATGTTTGACAAACAGATTTTACTCTATGTTAAGTGTTACTTACCATTTTTGCGTATTGTTGAAGTGCGAACTTTTTGTGAGTATCCTTACGAAAGTGCTTCATTTGCAAATTGGAAGTTATTAATCTTTTATTGCAATCAAAATACAAATTTCGCATCATGAAGTTGGGTCCTACAAAAATTTCATAAGATGATTGAATGAAGATGAAGACAAAAGAAATACTTCAATAAAACATTGTTAGTACTTCAAAAATCATGCTCCCTTCACTAATACTACAAAAACATCTGTGTTCACCATTTAACTTGTTTTTGTTGTTGATTTTGTTGCTCCCATTTGAAAGGCGGTTCCTTTTTTTCCTTGAGTTTTAAGTCCTATATTGATACGCTTTAATCAGGATTTTTCACTTTGAAGTGTGCCAAAGAGGGGTTTTTATCACAAGTGCAGCTGTAGACATCTGTTGAGTGCTTTGAGAATGATCTGTAGACAATTCATGTTGCTGCAAATATTTAGTCTCTCAGTTGTGCCACTGTTATTCACATGAGCCTGAATAGTTCAATTATTCTCTGTTTTTTGTGATTCGAACAATTTAAGTTTTTTTTTCTGTTGTTTCGACCCTTAAAATAGGGAGGAAATTTGTCTTCGGGTGCGTTTCTGTTTTTTCTTTCCTTTTTACAATTTGAAACCACATTAAATCAATGGAAAGGGCCAAGTGATACGGAAATTTCTATTTCTAGGACAGTTATGGGATAGGGATAGAATAAACATGATTGTTGTGGGGTTTTGCATTTTCCAGGAACGCAGTTCTCTGGTACTCAAGCACCTAACATGTCCTTGAAGACCATGTGTTTTCAGACCAATGCTTAGTGAAAAATCAGATGCTACATGCGCCGGAAAAACGCGATTTTGGTCACAGTTTTCCAAAAAGTGCCTCAAAACGCATTTTTGGCATGTTTTTCAAAATTTGGCAGCGGCGCAGAAAATTTTGACATCCCAGGGTCTTTTTAGTACTTTGGGAGAGCTCGGAAAATCAATTTGGTCGACCTAAAAAAATGTCCACAAAATTTTCGAATTTTTTGAAAAGCCACCCCCCCCCCCTCCCTCGAGTAAGTCATAGATCCGCCTCTGGTAAAAGAAGTAAGCCGGGCAACTATTTCTGTACAAAAATGATAAGAAAAAAACTATTTTTTCATGTTTTGCAGATTTTGCTTCGAATTTTTGAAATTTTTTTAGTCCAAAAATGGAGCTTAAAACTTCAAAAAATAATTTGAGTAAAATTTCATGGCTTGCTTTTCTGTAATAAGCCTGCTAACTTGCTTTAATCCTTCAAAATTGCACTAAAACTCAAAAATTTCAATACGGTTTTTCTCAACACTGGAACAACTTTTCGAAAAAATTTTATTGTTCAAATCAGGATTAAAAGGGATTTAATATGAGATATCAGTCGACCCATTCCGATAATTATTTGTTATAAACTTTTTTTGTTGAAGAACAAAATGAGCCTGCTCGCTCATCTTACTCGCTCGTAATTAGACCAAAAATCAACAATTTCAAACCGGTTTTTCTCGATATTGAGAAATTTTTTAAATGTCGTTCGAATCACGACTGAAAGGTCTTTAATATGATATATCACTCCACTCATTCCATTGAAAATTTGTGGTACCTGATTATGCGGAGAAAAAAAAGAAAAAAAACACCCGAATACAAAGCTCCTACCCTTTTTTCAAATCGTCGGAACAATATAAAAACAATTCAAAGAATAAATTCAATCTAAACATGGACGGACAGATATTTCACAAAAAAAAATCACTCTCAATCAGAATATATTTTGAAAATCTAAATAAGATACCTAGAGTCGCCGTTATTTTTGAGTTCCTGGGATCGGAATTTTGGGCCGTGCAAAGTTCCAGCCTATTCGTTTCGTAGAATGGGCATTTGATAAACGAGAGCAAAAATGACTCATTGAAAGCTTCACAGTTCCTTGCCGCTTTCAGTGAAAAATTTCCTTTGCTTTGACTCGCTTTCTTTGATATACTGAAGTAAGGCCTTATGGATAAACTCGTACTGCTCTTTCGTTTGAACCATTCCGCCTCGATCTAATCGCAATTTGGCCACAGTGCCCAAAATATCGATTTTTCCTTCCGTCTCATATTTTTCAATGGCCGACATTAGAGCTATGTAGCACCCGGTGCGTCCGATTCCGGCAGAACAGTGGACTAATATTGGACCCGGAGGCGTCGGAGAGACCGAGTTTGTCTCACACGACTCGTTATTCTGTTCACGTTGGTGTTTCGTAATGGCCTCCATCATGGCGAATAGGGCCGAGGCGTCCTCGGGGACCTCTTTATCGGGCCAATCCGAGTAGCAATACTGGCGAACGTGCCGTTGATTGGCACTTTCCATCTCGGCTATGAGAAATCCATTTAGCTGATATTTCGACTTGGGGTTGAAACTGTACTCACATTTAACTACAATATCACCAAATGTTGCATTAGTAATTGGCCAATACTTTTCACACATGGTTTTATTCCTCTCCCGTAGTTTTGTCAGCATCACTACAATGGACACGTTTTCCTGCCAGATCATCCACCAGAAATCCTCTAAAGTAGAAGGCAAGGGACCTTGGGCAGCAATAAACTGTTGCTCTCTCTGTAAGCCACTGATAAAATTGGCATTGATATATCCAGAACTCACTGACCTATAGCGGCTGCCACTAAGTCGGATCCGACTGCTATTGTTCGGCAACATCTGCTCATGCCGATTTTTGTGCTTTTCTAGTCCTTGTATTTCTGAGCGATCTTGCTGATTAGCAGGCAATGACATAAACTCTACTGGCAAATCGGGCAAAAGATTCAAATTTTGCACCAAATTGTCGAGTTCTGAGACTGTTAAGGGTTTTGAGGTTTTCATTAAAATTTCTGCATCGCAATTCGACCTAGACAACGGCGTGCTGCGCCCAGAAAAACTGGACTTCTGAGGACCCCCAGCGACTGATGCTTGACTTGCAGATGATGGGATGCTCAAGGTTAGCGACACTGATCCCGAAGGTCTTCTATCTTTGATACTACTACCCCGTGGAGTTTGGATCGAAGAGCTAGATGCCGAGCTTTCCCTCACAAAGGGACTACTGCGACCACCCGATAATGAATGCACCCGGCTGTGTTTGATTTGTCCCGGTGGCACGTTGAGGTGATCCTGGCGACTTACTCCGTGTGGATAGAAGCCAGGCTTTCCCTCGGAAATAACAGTGGAAATCAGAGATCCCCCGTTCGGTGGTTTGGGTTTGCTAAGGTCCAGCACATATCGTTTCTCTTCATCTGTAGCGGCCGGTTTCGTACATGTCGAAGCTCTGGTTCGAAGAAGGTAGAATATAATAGCCAGTAGTATAATAATTAAGGTACCAACGGCAGCAGAAACAACCGCTAGTACGATTTGATCGGTCGATAATGTGCGGTGAACTGGCATCACTCGTCAAACTTACTAAGAGACAAGGATGAAAGTAAATGAGCTGTATGATGTCAATTTAGTCGCTTTTGTGAACTTGGTTCCAAAGTTCATCAAGTGTTAAAAAGGCTATAGCAAATAATACGAGAAAATGAAATTTTGCTCAAGCTTCGTTATAATACGAGGTTGCTTCTCGGTTCGTGGTAACATAGCGACAAATCGATATCTGTGCTAACCTCAAAGATATCAATAGTTAAAATTATTCAATCTTTGATCAGATATAAACGATAGCAGATCGTAACAAAACGCCCTAGATTTGAACAAAATAAAAGATGAAGTAATTTGCACAATTTTTACACTCCGATGTAAGGTATGACAAAATTACAAAAACGACTATGACATAACGATAACAGAATTATAAAAATGTGACGAGGCAAACTTGTTAAAACATCGTCGGAAAAATTTTGTTTCTAAATAGAGGCGCAAGTTTTTGTACAAATTATTGTTACCATTGTGTTAACCTGAATTATGAGATTTTCATTTTTTTCGAGCAAGCCACTGCAGAATGATGTGCAAGTTTTTGCAGTAATTACAATAACTTTTAGGCGTCAATTAGTACCACAAAAAAGCAGTTTGCAAACTGTAATCAATTTTTCTGCATTTTTCTGCAATAATGCTGTTCGAATACAACAAAAGAGTATTTTTGAGGGGTATGGGGAGGAGGGGAAAATTATAAAGAGGATATTGGGCCAAATTGGTTGGACAGATAACTTCCAATAGCAGACATAGGACAATAAGATGGCGGCAGCACAATTTGTTTGTGGTTGTGGTCATCTCCTAATGCATGGTACACTGAACAGTTCTGTGTTGCACAAGCTTTCTAAAGCAAAAAAACATTCAGATAACATTACAGCTAATTTGGGATTAGGTAAATTCAAATTTTCCCCTCGTTTGCTTCCTGTTTATCTCAGCGACTGAAAAACAGGTAAGATGCTGTCCTTCTTGAAAACAGGTCAAAGCCGAACCTTTAAAACAGTATAAGTAGAAGAAAACTTTGGATGAAAACGTATGACATTGACCTCAAAGGCCATCTGAGACGACAGCAAACTTACTCTGCTAAATATATTTAAGCATTGACTATAAAAAAAGCGGACGTACTCCGTCTTCTAACGGAGAATGGTGGCCCTTCAATGACATAGGGATTACCCTATCAAATGAAACAGGGGGCTTGAACACCACATAAAAAATAAAATAAAATTTTCAAAAATTGACAACACTAAACCGAAAAAATCATTTTGAAAAGTGAATTCGACAGAATACCTTTTTAAGATTAGCGCTAGATACATATGCACTTTAGTTTATGCTACTTGGCGATACTAGTACCAATACTATAAAGCGTTTGAAGAAATAGAAGAGCAAAATGTTGTGTTAAATGCGCAGAACCAATTGATTAAATGACGAATGACGGATAAACGATAGCGACTATAACCTTACATTTGGATGTCACACTTTAACCAAATTCCTGACAACCTTTATTTAATTTCCTCTGAAAAAGAAAAAAAATCAGATAATTTTTTTGACGTTGAGTTGCCTTTAAGAATTTTTTATGAGTCCTAACCACGGCTGAGGGGTTTGACTTAATACCACACTTGGCCCTGTCAAAATCAGCTGAAAAAAAACACCCTCCGCCATACTTCGTTCTCACCTAAAGGATGTGGTCGGATGAACCAGGATAGGCAATTGCTGTCAAGATTAACACAGAGGCTACGTTGAGCTTCGCACCACTTGCGATACAAATCAAGAAAGCCGCTGTCGAAATAAAAATAGAAAAAGTCGAAAAAAATAGTTCGATCAAAATGAATTATTAAATCACACTTACCATCAGAGCACAATTTTTTTTTCTCGTCAACTGACACAAAATGAGGTCACTAAGCCGATATAATATAGTCCTGATTTTATATAGGCCGAGAGCTATCAAGCGGAACAAAAGGGAAAAAATCCGAAAAAATGTTGTTATGAAAAACTATAAGTTCTGTTACGATTTTTTAGCATTTTCAGCATTTTTGAAGGCTGATTTTATATAGGCCGAGAGCTATCAAGCGGAACAAAAGGGGAAAAATCCGAAAAAATGTTGTTATGAAAAACTATAAGTTCTGTTACGATTTTTTAGCATTTTCAGCAATCCAGAGGGGAAGGTAAAAAATTCCTAGATGTGTCAACTAAGCCGACAAAACACAAGCACAGAAATAGTAAGCCGACAATTTTTTGAAATTGAATAATTCCCGTTTGAAAAAAAACAGCGCGTGTCAAGTTAGAACCCAAGACTTTGCCGTCCCAGGCGTATTGGTTACCTCCAGACCAAGTGGAACGCAAATGCACAAAAACATGAATTTTTTCTATGAATTGAGTCTAAAATGACCATTTCTAATTTTGACCATTCTGTGAACAAAGTTAGTTACGGGAAAAAAAGTATTCTACCCGATAGCAATACCTTTGCTTATCGTAGGGGTGAAGATTATTCGGAACAAAACAAGGTAAATTCAGAAATCAAGAAATAATAGAGTTTAAAAAAGAGGACACAGAAGAATTTTTACCGTTAAATCTAAATCAAGAACAAAACTGCTCGTATCAGGGCAAAGCCCTGAATGTTCTGACTGCCTTTTAAGGTTTATGGAGCAGCAGTAATAACATAAAAAAATTAAATGAAATAAAATAAAAGGAATTTTTTTTTCTAAAATATGAAATTTTTTTATGAAAACCATCCCCCCACACGCCATAAAAAGTACAAAAAGATAGATTTCGCTCCTTGTAACAAATCAATTATGGCAAATAAGCTTCCTTCAACCAACTTGGAGAAGTTTCTAAGACGGATTAACTCTCCGCTTACGCGTTAATAGCGCGAAATAGATCGCGCGTTAATTGTCCCAAATTGGTCAAAATGGCCAAAATGGCAATCTTTAAACCCTCATAACTTTAGGAAAAATGATCACAGGTGAAATATCTTTTCAAATTTAAGCTCAGGACAACAATACCTTTTGAATTATATAAAAAAACTCCGTCAAAAATGGCTAGTTTAAAAGTCGAAATTTGTCTGAAGAAAAAAAAACCCACCTCGAGCACAAATATTCCGTTACTTTCGTATCGAAAGTCGGAACAATAATGACGGCTTTAGGTATGTTAAAGTGTAAAACTAAATTTCCCTCAAAAATAAGGCAGTTTTTCTAAAAATAAATGGAAACAAATAAAAAGATGAAGCAATATTTAAAAGCGAATTAGTAAGATCGGGATTCTTTGCGTTTCTTTATTTGCATTCATCTAATGGCTCTTCTGATTAGATCTAAGTGAGAGTCTCTCCAATGAAAGTGACATCCACTTGGATCTCAGTGCTGGCTTTCCGCTCAACAGTCAGACACGTTACCCTCCAAGCCAACCACTTTATGGCACTATATGGAAGAGTAAAAAACATAACAAATTGCATAATGATCGAAATGATTGGGAAAAAAATTATCAGTTTATAGTTGCCTGCAGGTTTATTCCGCTTTAACCCTGCGTGGACGCAAAACAGCCTGAGATTTAAATGTTAAAAAACAAACAGAGCTAGACACCTCAAATAAAATCCATTTCAACTTAAAACAACCGGCCAAAAAAGTAATTCCAGTAAAAACCGCATATGGCTTGAGTTACAACTTTAAGAGATACGCAATTTTTTGTTTTATTTAAAAGTTTTTTAGATGGAGCTTCGATTCTGCTCTTTCAGTCTGCAAGTGCGAGACAGATACATTTAATCGATATTAGGCAATCAAATCCTATATATTTGATTCAACAATCGTTTTCTATGATGAATTTGAAGCATTTTGAACATTCAAATAAATGCTGAAATCTTCACATATTCAACTCTTTTTTTTTTGTCTTTTCAAACTCCATTTTTTTGCTTGATGTTTCTTAGAACTAGCTGAAACGTTAAAGTCAAGTTTTTAAGGTTCAGTTTGGACATACAAAAACTGCCCGCAAAACACTTAGAAGCTCATTGACAGAGCTGGCATTGGAGCCACTTTTTGCCTGAAAAGCACTTTTATAATCAGACCCGTCAAAAAAAGGTGCTGACTCGCAGAGAAAAAATGAAAATATTCCACCAGTTATGTGCGTCTGCAGTAGATTTTCAGTCATTAAGACGTTGTTTTTTTCTTTCAAACAGGTGATTGCAATTGCATGCAAGTTACCAACTCCCAACCTCCCCCTCCCTAAAAAAAAACACTTCTGTTCATTTTTGGCCGAATAATTATCAAAATTATGAAAACCGAGCGAGGTGTATAAACCTTTATGAACCCCTCAATGGGGAGCTCAGGATGTGGATGTCGAAATTGATTCGATTGATCAGCTTACCTTTCCGCTTGTCAATGTGAAGAAGCTGCAACTTCTTTAGGTCGTCAAAATTGACGGCACCAGAAACTAGTTCTCTTTTGTATTTGTTCAAAAAAGATAATTTTCAGCCTGAATAAACAAAAAAGGGAACCACGAATGTTGGAAATAAACACATGAGAGCATATTTATTCAGACTTAGTCAGCAAATGCTTTTTTTTTCGAGCTCGACTCAAATGTTAAGCATGGTTACATCTGAATTAATTTTTCGAGTGATTATTAAGGATTCGTACTTAGTGTGCAGCATTCAAGAAACATCACCGCCAAATGGAAACACATCTTGAGTTAAGTTTCTCTTTGAAACTAAAACTAATCTAAGAACAAAAAGTCGGAAAAGAACACATTGTTTTTTTTCCATTTGTTTAGTTTAAAACACATCATTGACTCATACCCGAAATAGCACTTTCAGTCATGTTTCGAATCAGCAATCGGCTCTGTATTTGTCGTCCAACTGATCACGTACCATGGTAAATGGTATAACTTGTCCTTGCTTTTTCTCAGCTATATACCACATGTAGATAGCTGAGCTAACAATGGTAAAAACACAAAGCGCTTTAAAAAATTTAGACACGCTCGGCTAAAATATCCACTCGATTGGAATTGCAACGTAGTAAACTGAAACAGCTCTGAAATTTTTTGAATGGAAAAGATGAAATTTTATTTGACCGCTAAAATAGGAGCTTTTAGTAATTGGCTTAAGAAATGGCGTAAGCTCTTAGAATGCAATCTGCATCACTAAGCTCAATTTAAATGAATAATAGTAATCAATACCGTTTTGCGTCAAAAGAAATTTGTGAATAACACAAAAAATAAACTTGACTGCCTAGCTTCAAAGCCTATAAGATTGAGGACAGGCTTCAAAAACAGCTACGTCTAATAAGCGCTTACAATGACCGACATATGCCTTCGAAAAATAATTGTGAAGTCAAAACTTTTTTATTTAAAGACTTTTGATGCGTTATCATTAAGGGAGCAAAGTCTTAATGTGATTGTGATAAGAACAGAATACACGAAAAAAGGTGTTTCGATGCCTGAACATAACCAAAGAAAAAATATATAACTAGAATCAATACTAGGGGTATTTACTGTTAATCTCTCCATATCACAAAGAGAGCATATTTATTCAGACTTAGTCAGCAAATGCTCTTTCTGAACATTTTTGATGCCAAATTGAAATCAATAGCATCAAAATTACGCAAAATCACAGCTGGTAATTTCGAAATGGAATTCTTTAAACATTGCCGGCAAAATTATTATATTTAAAACTTGTTTCTGATAACTTTGCCGGCAATGTTTCGAAAAACACCAAAGCATAATTGTTTAGGCATAATATAAGGTATAATTGTTAAAAAAACTGATTTTAAAAAATTTAAAATTGATGCTAAGGTATCTCTATGTGATTTTAGTTTTAGGATTCCACCAAAAAGGGTTGTCTTGATACACGACAATAATCTCAACCAGAAAAAAAGGATAGCCAGTTTCTGTGCAAATAGTATTGATAACCGGTTGCTGCGCAAATAAATAAAAGCATAACCACGGTTGAACTGGAAGATTTTTTGTATGCATCAAAAAAAATAAGAACTTTGACAACTTTGAATACAATTAACTTTAAAAGAAAAACAAGACTGCTCGTATCAGGGCGAAGCCCTGAATATTCCGACTGCCTTTTAAGGTTTATGGAGCAGCAGTAAATGCATAAAAAAATCAAATGGAATAAAATAAAAAGAAAATTTTTTCTAAAATTTGAAATTTTTTGTGAAAATCATCCCCCCACACGCCATATAAAGTACAAAAAGAGAGATTTCGTTCCTTGTAACAAATCAATTATGTCAAATAAGCTTCGTTCAACCAATTTGGAACGATTTATAAGACGGATTAAATCTCCGCTTAAGCGTTAATAGCGCGAATTATATCGCGCGTTAATTGTTGTTGTTGTTGTTAGCCCACGCGGGTCGGGTTGGGCTCTTCTGTCTCCAGGTCAAGGAACTTAGCAACCTCTACCGGCCGAAGCCACAGGTCTGCTGGGGTGAGTGGGGAGGGGTTTTGGGAGCAGTTGAAAAGGTGACATGTTGTGTGGGGGGCAAGGGAACAGGTTGGGCAAAGGTGGGAGATGGAGCTGTCGAGGCGGGATAGGTAAGTGTTAAGGAGCCGGCTGTAGCCAGACCGGAGTTGGGAGAGCTTACAGCGCGTGGGACGTGGGAGAGATTTTTCAGAGGGGTCAATCTTTGGGGGAGGGATACAAATAACTTTAGACGGAGGGGTTTCGGCTAGGAACTTGGTTACAAGGGAGGTATGGTTGTCTTTTAAAATTGGTTTGTAGTAGTTAAAAATAAAAGTGGCGACTTCATCTCGGTCGTCCAGAACTAGAGGGTGGTTTGCGTAGACTGAAAAGTCGGTTAAAATTTTCTGGGTGTCTTCTTTGAAGCAGCTTATAATTGAGGGGCGAAGTAGACGGGGAGGAGGGGAATGTGAATGTATAAAATTAATGGGATGGTGGGAACGATAGGTAGAGATAAAAAATTGAGATGACAGAAGGGTATGGTGGTCTTTGACCGTTAGGATTTCAGATTCACTGTGCAGGTGGGCAGTGGAACTCATTAGATTTGATCCAGTAACAACGCGAAGGGATTGGTTTTGGGCAACCTGCAGGCAATTTATGGAGGTGTTACTTGATGCGTGGGACCATGCGGGGGCTGCATAGTCAAGTATGGGGCGAATTAAAGCTTTAAAAGTTAGGAGGAGGGTTTCTTTGGAGTGACCCCAGGTTGATCCTGCTAATGCCTTCAGGATTCCGATCCTGCGTCTGGCCTTTTCAGCGGATTGTTTGCAGTGAGTGGCAAAACAAAGTGTTGGATCAAATGTCACCCCTAAGATTGTTGGATTTTTGTTTAGGGGTAGCGCCTCGTTATTTAAAAGAACACTAGGTGTTTTATTAAATTCTTTGTTATAAGAGGAGAAAAGTGTAACTGATCCTTTAGAGGACGCGAAACTTAGTTTGCGTGAGGTGAAAAAATCGTAGAGCCTTTTTAGGTAGCTATTGATGGAATTTGAGGCGATATCAATATTGGAACTGCTTGCGAAGGGGTGGAAATCGTCTGCATACGAAACAAGGTTTACATTATCGGGAGGTGGCGGTGCATCATGGACATAAAAATTGAAGAGTGTGGGTGATAAAACAGAACCTTGGGGTACGCCACAGTCGATTATTCGATGGGGGGATGTGTGTTCACGGAATGAGGTGGCAGCTTGTCGACCATTAAGGTAATTACTTAGCCAGCGGACTAGACTTCTTGGGAGGGGAGTGTCATGAACGAGTTCCACAAGTGAGCGATGACACACCACGTCGAAAGCCTTAGATAAGTCAAGTGTGGCCAGTACCGTACGTTTAGGGGGGCGATTTTGGTTAAAACCGTCTGAAATGTAAAATTCGAGAGTGGAGAGAGCTGTGGTGGTGGAGTGAAAAGGGCGGAAGCCGTGTTGGTGTTTGGCGTTGGGGAGATGTTTGGTAAAGATGGGGTGAACGAGCCTCTCCAGAATTTTAACTGCTGGGCAGAGTAAGGATATAGGTCTGTAAGATGTTGATTGTTTAAGATCCTTATTGGGCTTTGGAAGCGGTGCAATTTTTGAATTTTTCCAAATTTGGGGGATAATGTTTTCGGACAAAGAGATATTAAAAAGGTATGTTAAGTATTGAGTAGCAAGTGGGCCGAGATGTTTAAGGTGTATATTACAAAGGCCGTCGGGACCTAGCGCTCGCGATGGTTTGCTGTCTGCAATGGCTTGTTTAGTATTTTCAGGGGTAAAAATTGGGCTGTCTGACAGCGGTAGTTTGGCAATTTTTCTTCTCGTTATACGAACGAGTTTGTCAGAGGCGTGGGGTCTGGCATTGGTGAATTGTTTGTTAAAAGAGCTGGTAATATCACGAGGTGAGTGTATGGGTTTAGAACCAAAAGTAATGGGGTGTCTTCCTGCCACGGACTTAGATCCATTTAAGGAGCGTACCACTTTCCAGAACTTTCTGGCACCAGTGCGGTAGTCGCAAGTCCGGAGGAATTCTCGCCATTTATTTTCTTTGTCCTTTGCTGTCTGTTTCATGAGTCTACAGTTCAGTTGGGATATGACTTCTGGGGGGAGATTTTGTTGTCGGCTGAAATCTCTTTCGGCGGCAAGGGCAGTGGACTCGGGGGAAAGAGAGGGAGTGAAGTGGCGAATACGGCCAGCGGGGATGTGGTGGCGTGCTGCCCTGAGCACCAGGTCCCTCAAGAATTTCTCTCCGGCGGCAACTCCGGAAGGTGGAACCGCTGAAAAGAAACCCTCCTCAATTTCCTCTGTGAATTTGATCCAATCTGCTTTTAAAAAATTTATAAAAGTCCTTTTAGGTGAAAAATTTATAAAATCATCCAAGGGTAGTTCTAGAAGAATGGGTAGGTGATCTGATCCTAGAGATTTAATTGGGGTCCATGATGTGGAGAGTAAGAACGATTGGGACGAGAGGGAAATATCTGGTGACGAGAGTTGGTTTTCTGAGTTAAAAGGGACTCTGGTTTGTGTGTCATCATTTAATGGTGCAAAGGTGGATTCGGTTATTTCTTTGCTAAGTACAGAGCCGCGTTGATCTTCCTCGATGTTGGAGTTCCATAGTTGTGAATGTGCGTTGGCATCCCCGAGTACTAAGGCGTCCCCAGGTTCAAGTAGTTCGGCAAGGGACGCAGAGTAACCAGGGGGACAGCTCGAGCGAGGGGGGATGTAGAAATTATAAATACGAAGCTTGGATGAACTGGCTACCACTGATATGCCCATAGCCTCTAGTGTTCCATCGTTGTTAATATTTATTTCTTCGTATTGTATCGACTCATGTATGGCTATGAGGAGACCGCCCCCTTCTTTTTCTCGATCTTTTCTAATTAAAGTGTAGTGTGAGCCTAGTGAGGGGTTTCGAGATTTCTTTCTTAATTTAGTTTCTTGGAAGACAGCAATATGAATTTGATTTTGAGATAAGAAAGCAGCAATTTCGGGTGCTTTTCCGGAGATACCGTTGCAATTAAATTGAAGGATTTTTAAAAGGCCTTTGGCGGGGTGTGGTGAACTATTTACATTATTAACAGCAGTATGATTAAAATGGTTGTTTGTACTTGAGTTATTTACACTATTTACACGATTACGATTTGCGCGATTTTGGGAGGAGGAATTTTTATTCGAGGAGGTGGGAAGGGTGGGAGGGGGAGGGGGGTTAGGGAGGTGGGGTTGGGGGCGGTTAGGGAAGTTGAACAAGTTTGGGAGTTGGGGGTGGTCAAGTTAGAGGACCTGGTGCCTGGGGGAGGTAAAATGTAGGTAGAGGTACAGGTAGGGCAATAGTAGTCAGGGTGGTGTTGGTTAAGGTGGGTAAGACCACTACATTTAAGGTGAATGTAACCACAGATGTGGCACCAGACACTGGGCTGGGTGCGTTTGATGCGGAAAGAGCAAGGGGAGCAAAAGTAAGGCCCTGGACCAGGGTTTGGATTAATGCCGGAGCGGAGTAGTAGTATAAGGATGAGCAGACGGAGCAGCCTGGCCGGCTTCAGACGCTCCGTAACCGAAAACCCGGAGACTTCTGAGCTTCTCCCGACCCAATGTGAGGGGGGGCTTGACGCCATTTGCATCTTGGTGGGGCCCAAGATGTCGGATCCACCACTGGAAGGCGGCGTCGTCTGGATCCTCGCGCGTTAATTGTCCCAAATTGGTCAAAATGGCCAAAATGGCAATCTTTAAACCC